TGATATGTAATTACTTATATAAATTAATCAATAAAGATATGAGCAAGGCCTCACCTTAATACCAAAAAAAAAAAAAGAAATAGGGGAACAGGCTTAAATAAATTTTGAAAAATTTCAAAAAAACTTTTCAAAAATCATTTTAGCAGGCAAATTTGCTGCTAGACGGTTTAAGGGATACGTAGAGAATGTACTGTACAACACATTATCTATTTTTTTTTATTACATTACACTACACAATCGAACGAATGAAAAAAAGATCAAATTCTTTCGTTATGGCCTTTTGTCAATCATACCGGCAAAAAAATAAGAAAAAAACCCCAAAATTCTAAAAATCTCGGAAAGTATAAATACAAACATAAAGTAAAATAGACACACAAGCGCAAAAAGAAAGGTTTTTTAATAAAATTAAGCTACTTTTAACCGATTAAAAATTTTTTTCTAGCAGCTATATAATATAATATAATATCATATCTAATACAGTAATATCATATTTATATCTAGATATATAAAAATGGTGGGAGTAAAAATTTCCTTTTATAGATTAAGAGGAAATTTTGGCTGCCGATCATATGCACAAATGCGACACAAAATACGACAAATAGTAAAAAAAGAATACACAACATAAACATAAATAGTAAGGAAGATTACACTGCATAAACAAATTAGGTTAATTAAATATTTATTTATATATATATTAATTTTTTCTTTATTAAAATTTAGAACTTCAATTAATTTCAATTAACCAATAAAATTTTTACAATACTTATGCAAATAGAGTATGCACACAGAGTAAATTTAGAGTAAGTTAATAGTATGATAATAAGATAATGCAATAATATATAATCAAGAATCACTCGGATATCTTTATTATAAAGGAGAAGTTACTCAGATAAAATCCAAAAATACAATCAAGATTAATACATTGGCTTTTTATAAATAATAGCTACTTAGGATCCCTACATACATGATGAAACACTTCTATTATTGATGACAAAGCTTTATCATTACCAACACCAAATAAACTCTTCCTGCATTTTTACTATATTATATCAAGGTAACTAACCCAAAATACTACTGTTGTTACTTTTTATTCCAATACTGCATCAGGCTAGCATGTTTTTGATAATATGTAGAAGCCTAATTGTTAACGATGCTTCGTATTGTTCATAGATCGAACCAATTTATCTTCACATGTCACAGAGTAATTTAGAATGGAGGTTCAGGTATGGTAATAAAATAGATAGAAATAAGAAATAACTATATATAGTAATAACGTAGGATGAGTACAGGAGTTATAGTTTAGGAAGGGATAAGCGATGATCATGGGAACGGTTTAAAGGTTTAATAGGGATCAAATGGAGGATGATCGAATTGTGATAATGTAGTGGCCGTGTATAATTTATTAAGAGAACAGGGTGATGAGGGAAATGATGATTATAAGGAAATGCGGCGCAGAAAAGTTATGCAATTGCAGTGTATACGATACATCTAATCAGAAAAACCACAGGATAAAAATTAAAAAATTACACTTTAACTAAATAATCCTTGTAAAGTGCATCACGGCAGATCATCGATTTTGATTGGCTAATGGCCGAGGATCTTATTTTTATTATGCATAAAGTTTTTTAAACCAATTATATGCAAGATTTGGAGTGACAACTGAGATTAAAAGCGAATTATCGTAAAATTTCTTATGAGATACTTATCAGTTGCTTGTCAGTTGTTTATATAGTTTACTTTATGGGTCCTTAGATAATTTACGAGCTCTTATCAGTTTTTATACAGTTACTCTATAGTAATTTAGACCATCACATTTAATTTTAATAATCATAATGCTCCGACTGGAAATTTTCGCCCATACGATTTCCGACCGGAATTAACTTTTTAATTTTTTCTTTACAAAAATATAAATTTTTAAAAAATAAATCCGCATTATTATTAGCCAAACAAAGTCGAGAATCTGCCGTGACAATTTTGCTATGGTTAATGTTACAATAGCGACACTACTACTAACAGGACTTAAAAGAAATTTATGCAGATCGTCGATCCAACTAAATCAAATACAGCATCTCTATTTCCCAAGCACAGCTTGCAATTTTTGTAAATAAGGTTTTGTCACCCTTACTCATTAAAGACTTTGATTACAAATTTAACCATTAAACGAAGTTGATTCATATTAACAGTTTAATTTATTCGATTGGCCCATTACTTTACAATTCTTGATATTTATAAAAGGTTTCTAATAAAATTTACAAATTTTAGTGATTAAATCTTTAAATCATTAATTAAATAATTAAAATGGCCAATTTTTTCATTGGAATTATTTTTCTTTTATTTTTTTTAACTTGGCTTTCATCTGTAAGTGCTGATGACAATGACAATATAACGATCCAAAATGAGTATATAAATTTTACTATTAAGGATCTATTTCGAAATAATGTCCCTATTAAACGCGAAAGTATAGATGTAGATTTGAAATTTTTATTTTTTCGTATCGCTCCAATTATATACCAATTTTTTAGTACAATTAATAATGGCGGTATTAAAAGTAGACTCTATAATGATGGTGTACAAATGATTTTACCACCTTTATTGCTAATTATTCCTTCCTTTATTAGTCCTCTTCAAACATATTCCCATCTTTTCTTTTTTATATTAAAGATTTATACTATTTTAATGATTTTTGCTTCATTTTGTTCTTTGTCAACTTCAATTTATGAATTTCGTAAAAATAATTACCGTATCCCTAATGAAAATGGCCATAATAATACCCTTAAAAGTATTTATGAGAAGTATAAAATATTTGCTGTAATTATTGCTTCCATTAATTTTTTATTCAACTTCTTCCTGTTAGTAGTTGTTGCTTTAACATATGGCTCAGCATCTTTTCCGTTCATTATGTTAATTATTATCGTCATCCTTCAATCAATTGGGAATCTTCATTCCATTAGATTTATTAAATATATTAAGGAAAAATTTTCTACAAGTTCACAGGATATAAACGCTATAGAACTGCAGGATGAAAATGCATCAATGATAGAAAAAATTGAAGCTACAGAGATTACAAAGCGTCATCAAAGTGATAAAAAGGAACAGCATAGTACTTTTGCTTTGGGTTATACTATACGGACATTACACTTTGCTACAATTACATATTTCTTTTCAAATAGTAATGCATTTCAGTGGGTGACCGGTGCTATCCTTTTTTCAGCACAAACAAGTTTGCATTTTGCTAGTTATAGTTACGATTTAAAAGAAAATAATTGTAGAAAATCTTCATTTTTATGCGAATTAGATCATTATTTCCATGTTAAAGATAAAAAAAATTCTAGCTGTTGTTGTTAGATACGATGATGTAAATTTAATTAGATATAATCACGTATTTATAACATTTTTTTGATATTAAATGTCAAAACCATTATTTCTTATCTATTTTATTCATTCTTTACCTATTTTTGTTATTCAAAATTTTCTTTAATCATTAATAAATCATTTTATTGAGCCACCAATGATTTAACTTATTAATTATTATGTGAAAAGATTAGAGTTACCGAAATTTCAGATTAATTGATTTTACAAGCACGATATATCAGTCATTATAAGTTGCTCATTATAATACGTATTTACTTATTTTTATTAAGATCTAAATAATTTAACTTTTGTTTTTTTTTATCTAATTATTTAAACTATTAAATACTAGTTATGACCGTCGCATTGCTCTTGATTTAATTAGTAATTTTTTTTAGAATATACATGCAAAATATTTATTAAGTCCGTATAAAAGCTGCCCTTGCCAAGAATTTGGAGAATGTTATTATGGTTTAATAATAAAATTGGACTCGAATAGAAGCTACCCATAATTTAGCATGAAAATTCAAAAATTTAGCATGAAAAATCAGAAAATTCTTGGCAGATCTTATTTATCAACGGTAATTGAAATATACTATTTAAGATTCATAAATTTTCATTAACTAATTTCATTTCATCTATAATTTGGATTGTGATAAGGAACATTAATCTAAGTACAGTTTACCCTCGTTAATATCAACCCATTTGGGTCGCTTTATATCCATGTTGATAGTGATATTAATGAGGGATCAAATTAAAGTTTATATATATACGGGAATTTTAATGTAATTTTAATATATAGAAGTTCATTTTATAGTTTAGATTGATATTAATGAGGTTGATATTAACGGGAGTAAACTGTATTTTAAATTATCAATACTTAAATAATCTATTTTCCTATTAACTTTCCAAATTTATTATTTTAACTAGAATACTTGTAATCAAATCACATAATAATTAATAAGTCGGATATAGGGTTGGTAAAGTTCTTAGGTTTGTACCTTGGAACCTGGTTTTGAAACCTAGTTTTTAAAAACCAGGTTCTAATTTTCATACCTAGGTCTTTGGTTCGGGTTAGGTTTTTATATATAATATACAAATATACGGTAAAATCTCTATAAGTGCGTGCAGAGAACAATGAAAAAGGTGCACATATAGAGACCAGTTATATATTTGGCCAAAACTTGAGCATGCATTTAGAAAGGGTGTACACTTATAGAAGATGCACTTATAAAGGTTTTACTTGCTATATTGATACATTTGAATTAAGATGAGATGGAAATAAATTTACTGTTACATGAAGATCTACTGGTTATACAACCACTATATCTGAAGTTACACTAATTTAAAATATTAGAAGCTGAAACTAGCAGGTTCCAGAATCAAACCAAGTTTAATCTAGATTTGGAACTTAGTTTATAAAACCTGGTTCCTAAAGGTTTTGGAACCAAAACCGAAACTAAACTAACTTTACCAACCCTAAGCATGAGCTAATGAGTTATTTAAACTATTATATTTTAGGTATTATGAGTTTTGGTGTTCATTATGGTTACTGCTAAGTTTATTCAGATTTGGCTTTAAATAACACAGGTAAAGATCTATTTAGAAAGTATTTATTTGTTACTATGTCTACCTGACTGTACTGGTCCTGCGTAACATCGCACGCATGCAGCTACTCAAATATTATTATAATAAAAATAGAACAACATCACAAAGTTGTTATGTAGAGTTACATAGAATATTTATGTAGAGTTATGTAAAATTTTTATGTAGCTTTATAAACCCAATTTAGATTTACATAGCTATTTATATAAATCTATATATATATCTATGTAGAATTATGTAAAATATCAAAAAATTTTACTTAATTATTAAAGCTAGAAATAGATTTTAAAGCTTAAACTAGGGGTTTGGGGAGTTTTCTGGCCTGCTAAACATTTTTACTTAGTATATAGAATACTGATTACCTTAATCATTTTTGAGAAATAGCCAAAGTAAATTAATTTATTTTTATAAAGATATAAATAGAATTTATATAATTTTTATATTTATATAAATAATAAATAACATTATATAAATATTATATTAAATTATATATAACAATTCTAACTATGTAAGTCTATATTGGGTATGTAAACCTAAATAAAAAATTTATATAACATTTATATAACTTGATAGAACTATGTAAATTTTATAAAAAAATGTACTTCGTGATGAAATAAAATATAAAATCAGACATAATCCAGATATAACAATTGATGATTAGAAATATAAAGGCAATCAATTATATGAAAATATATCAAAATTTGAGATTATGTATATACAATCTAATGGATGCCTTAGACTATAGCTAAAGTTTTTTATTTCGCAATTTTTTACTCCCTGCAACTTAAGTGAATCTTTAGTTTAGTATAATAATACTATAATTTATTGACAAAAAAAATTATAAATAAGGACAACTATTATAGTTTAATTTTCAAAGATAAATCGAAAATTTATGAAATGTTCATTTTATAAAGAAAACTTCAATCTATAAAAAAACTAAGACAAATCATTATATAATTTCTGTTTTCTCTTATGAGGCCCTTTTTGAGCTACGGGAGGTTCGTAGCCTCCGGATTAGTTAGTCTGTTTTGTATTTGTTGTTCCCGTAAAGAAACCATTTGTTTATGAGCCTATAAAACTTTTTTAGTATTAAAGAAAATTAAAGAATTCTAATAGATTTTCAATGATTACCTCAATCTGATCCATAACATATTTATAAGCTTCAAATGCTTGGTTAACCAATAAGCTCTCTGGGAACGATTCTTCCAAATCTTCTAATTCAGAAATTATGGGAGGCCAAAAATGCATTGATGGATCACAAATATAAAGATAAAGAGGGTCGGTCTCTTTTTGTATTTCGCCTTGTAAAAATCTATAAATAAATCTTCTTAGTGCCGTGGCAAAAACTTCCGCAGAAAACTTCACGACTTTTCCATTAATAATTGTTGCGGGTTGGTTAGTTTCAAAATCAACAATATTGTCTATTTCACCTCGTTGCTTAAGTATAAGTTCTTCCTTATATTTATCATGAATATACTCAATTGTTAGATTTGCTACTTGTCCCTCTATTAATTCATACAAAGAAATTATGTGTTTAAGTTTCAGAGGTTTGTTTAGCAAATAACGAAATTCAAGATTATCATTAAGTCCAGAGAGTGTTGACCATTGGTTTACATAATATTTTATGAGAATTTCACCATTGCCACCAGGTGTCCGTTTAATAAAACAAAGCAAAATTTCCAAGGATGAAAGAATTTCTGATGGATTATCGAGGGATGTATCCATACTGTTTGATTGGAATGCATATGG